TATGGCTTTACTTTTTATACTTAGTTTTTATACTTTTCTGCTGGATGGTTAAGACCAAGATAAAGCAAGACCTATATAACAAGTAATATAACTTCTGTATCTGATAAAAAAGTGTATTTCTATAAAACATACAAAAGTGATCCATACATATTAACTTCATCAGTATATTTTTTTCTGACATAGATCAAAATATAAAAAATTTGTATTTCTAGAAAACATGGGATAGGTTTGGCAACTGTGTTTATATTTCCTTAGAAAAATACCATAAATAAGGACCAAAATATATAATAGATAGATGGGGAGAAAAATGTTCAGATGAGAAGGGGAACAGGGAGGGCGAGGGGGATATCAAAGAAGGAGCAAGAAAAAAGTAGAAGATAGAATGGAAACAAAGATTTTGTAAATAAGGAGGGTAAGAGGGACTGATGGAAGGGGAGGGCAATAGAAAAAAAGAAGCAAGATATACCATGGATGGATGCGTATTGCCTATGATGAATGCAATTGATAGTATATCTGAAATGTGCCAATAATGTTATCATTGTTTGTATTTAAAATATACCAATATAAATTTTTTAAAACTTAAAAAAAGAAAATACCAGAATTCTCTTTAGAATTAGGAGTAATGCTTAGTGCTTTGCAATTTTTGAGTTATTTGGGAGCTTGAGGGAAGAGGATCACAAATTTGATCCCAGCCTAGGCAACTTAGCAATTTAATAAGACCCTATGTAAAATTTAAAAAAAATTTTTTTGGATTATGTTGTGTTTTTTATTTTTTATTTTTTGAGAAACAAATATCAATGAGACACTTTCCAAGCTGATTAATAGGACATTTTGAATAACACCTCAGTTGCTGCTGTTTATGTGCTTAATTTGCCCTTGTTTATGTAGGTCATGGAAGAAGACTGCTTCTTAAGTATCTGAGTTTAATTTTTTCATCCTCAGAAACTTCTCAGGACTGTGCGCAGAGATGTCTTAAATCAGAGGTGTAAAAACTTTTAGAAATAGACTCACCAGAAGTATTATATGAGAAAAACTATTTAAAGCTCCCCAACAGCTTTTTCTTCTGTCCCAAGTCATTTCCCTTACAGACTCCCCGATGGGGCCCTGCCTCACTGCCGTCCGCTCCCATGACCCACAGGGACCTGCTGCCTGTCTGCGTCCTCAGTTGTGACCCTGCTCTTCTCTCTTGCCCATCCGCAGAGCCCGGCATCTGCACGGTGTTTGGAGACCCTCACTACAACACTTTTGACGGCCGGACCTTTAACTTTCAGGGCACGTGTCAGTACGTGTTGACCAGAGACTGCGCCACCTCCGCCTCACCCTTCCAGGTGCTGGTGAAGAACGACGCCCGGCGGACACACTCCTTCTCCTGGACCAAGTCGGTGCAGCTGGTCCTGGGCTCCAGCACCGTCAGCCTGGAGCAGCACCTGGCCGTGCGCTGGAACGGCTCCCGCGTGGCACTGCCCTGCCGAGGGCCGCACTTCCACGTGGACCTGGAGGGCTACCTGCTGAAGGTGACCACCCAAGCAGGTGGGACCCCACCCTGAGCACCTGCTGCCCCTTCTGCTGTAGGACTATCTCCTTCAAGGCACATGGAATGTTGCCAAGGGGTTAGAGACACTATGTGAAGACTGACAATTAGGTGCTGGGCACAGTGGCTTTGCTATCTTTAGACACCCAGAACCTCACTATCCTCATTCAAGAGCTAGCTGTACTCTTCAAACCTGGCCACTGCTGTCCAGCTTGGAGTTGTCAGAGTCTCTCTTAGCTCAAATAGCTATGTGCAGTTTTATATCTGGGAGAGGAGATAGTTTCCTTGTTAATATCTGCCCCCAAAATACAGAGGGCTCTCAAAACCCAACAGCATAGGGTTGGTGATAATTCAGAAGAAACACAAAACTTGGGTATGATAGTGCTCACCTATAATCCTAGCACTCTGCAAAGCTGAGGCTGGAAATTTGCAAGTTGGATCCCATCCTGGACAACTTGGGGTCTCAAAAATGTACAAATGGGTTGGGGACAAAGTTCAGTGTAAAGGCCCGAGTTCTATCAACAGTATGAGGGGGATGGAGGAAAGAAACAGAAATAGTCACAGCAGAGGGACTGGTCTTGTGGCTTCTGTGCGTACTGAGTCACCTGATCCTTTTCACTGTCCTGTGCTAAGGAGAGTGAGGCTTCTATGTTTGGGTGTGCAGGTGGGGGCACAGGAACAAGATGTGACCAGCAGTCTCATCCATCCTGATTCTGGGGAAGGAAGTTGCCACCCCGATGGCCAGAACCACTGTCTGCTGCTGAGGACCCTGAGGCTGGCTTCAGAAGCATAACCTTCCATACCCTTGGGTGCTTATTAAGCACCCTCAGGGCAAGCTATCCATGACTGTTAGGAGTCCACAAGGCTCAAGCCTGTCAGTTAAATGTTGCTTTAAAAAATTTTAGAAGCAGAACCCAGATCCTGGTTGTTATCTCCAGAGACTGAGTCTTGCTCATCTGCCCATTTTATGACACTCTGTTGTGGTTCTTTATGGGCCATCTGTGGTCTACTGTGAGGAAACCAGCCTACTTATTGCCTTCTTACAGGTGTGAGTTTACCAATGTGAAAGCATCGATCTCCATTTTCCTTAGGTAACAGTCAGAAAAGGAAGCCTTGGTAGAGCAGGCACTTTTCAGGGTCCAGGAGGATGTTCCTGCTCCCAGACCCCCTGCTCATTGTTTCAACTCAGCAAAAGCACATTCTGATAAATTGATTTGACTCCTTTATGTACCCTCTTAGTAAACAATGCGAGAAACCAGGAGACAGCCCTGGGAACTTCTAATTAACAAGTATATCAGTGTTTCAGTGAGACAATGAAAGCATTAAAGTATTTGAACATTCAGCAAAGGGGGAAAAGAACTCTTATTCAAGTCATAGATATGAGGAGTTCTCAGGAACACTAGAGGAATTAGGCCTGCTCAGAAAATTCAGGTGCCTGTTCTTCTGTCCTGAGGACACACACTCTGCAATTGTAGGCCCTGCCTGACTCTTGCTCCCTGGCAAAACTGCCGAGATGAGCTGCTCAGGAGGTTTGATGAATTTAGCCATTCTAGGTCTAGAACTCAAGTCATATAATTTATTTTTCCATCTCTCTTTCCATGATACAAATAATTTATATGCTATCCATCACACCTAGGCAATGTTTTTTTCCTGCACATAAGTCACATGGCCTTCTGATTGCTGAGAGGAGTTTCATTACTCTGGGCACTATGCTTGCTCTGAGTCCGTCCTTTGAATGGAACAACTTGATTTCCAGACAATTGCATCTCTACCCTGGTCTGGCCAACTAAAATTGAACAGCTCTCTGGGGTTGTCTTCTTTTTGTCACCTATTGATTGTCTTTTTTAAAACATCGCAGCATTTCCTCAAGTGTTCTTCCTCCATGGATTCCTTGTTTTGTTTCATAAGCTCATGTGATCAAAGATGACTACTCAAAACAGCAGCTTCAGAGCAGCCCCCAGACGGAGGACAGGAGGCAGAAAAAAAGCTCAGCCTGCAGGATGGAAAGCCCTGGAGGAGCCACACAGATGGCAGTGTCATTATCATGGAACCAGGCCCTGCTGCTTATTCCCTAACTACTGGATGGGGAGAAGGCTTAGGGTTAGCACTAACCATCCCACTGTGCACTGGCCTCACCTTTCAGCATTCAGCAGATTATTTACAAAATGCTTGCTTTCTGCATTCTGTGCACCTCATCAATTCTAACTGAAAGTTCTACATCAGATCACATGAAAACATTAACATGCAAGCAAAGTGGCTGCTGATTTTAGTATTGGTGAGCACTACACTGGAACCTGGAGACTGTACCCTCCCCTCCCACCCTGAAATCCAATCAGGAACACTGCCCACTTTTATGTATCACTGAGGTGTGCCTTCAGATCCTGTACTGCCTCTCCCCTTGTAGGTAGCAGCAGCAGAACCACCATTAATCAGAAAGCAAAGCAATGTGGAGCAAATAACACCTACAAAATGCAAGAATAGCTACACGGACACCACCAGCGTCCTACCAGAGTAGTAGTCTACAGCCAGGTCACACATGTGCAGGGTGAAGAAGAAGTTGGCAGAACCTCCACGGGCAGGAAGGCCTTTCCTGAAGTGGAAGGAATGTGGCTACTGCTCACACTCCCGGGGAGCATAAGCTTCAGCTTTGGCTTCCACCTCTGCCAGGGCTTTCTACCCAGGTTCCTACACTGAGAATCAGGAAACCCAACCCAGCTCTACAAAGGACTATCAATCCTCAAATATTTCTACAATGTTTCCCTCTCAAAAGAGGTAGATTTAAAATAACATTTGGAAGAGAATGTCCCTCAATTTCAACTTATTAGACTGATGATTTTTGCCTTTGTGCTAATCTCCTTCCCATGGATTTTACTCTTGGAGAGGGTGAAATTTTTCTCAGAGTCACATTGTAAATGGTATAGCAAGAGGCAAAGGCACTGGGGTAGAAGAAGTCATCTCTGGGCTCTGTGAAGCCCTCATCAGTCAGTGAAAATCATTCTATAATAACAAAGACGAAAAGAAAGTGAGTGGTAAATCATACTCTTACTCTGGGGACCATGGGCTATGATGTGAGATCACAGGTTTTGAGAAGTATTTGTTGGAAACACAGCACCTCTGCATCCTCCCAAGCCCATGTGGACACAGTCATCAGCTTGTTTCCTGTGAGTGTAGTCCTGTGAACTCAGTGGCCCAAAGGCTCAGGTCCATTATGCTGTTGTCAGTCACAACATGCGTGCTCCTTTGGGTGTAAATTCTCAACCATTTATGGCACTTGAAAAAACAGTATTTGTTGTCTGGGAAAGAAATTTGTTGTTCAGAAAATTTTGCAACATGTAAAATCTTTGGGATTATAATCTAAAAGTTGGGTGCTGTAGGGAACTGATTTCCTTCCCTCATTTCTCTAGCTGAATAGCTGCCTGGGAACAAGCTCGTGAGACTAAGTTTCTTTTACACCTTGCAGAGCGTATTACAAACCATTTTACAGTTTGTTTGTCTCCTTTAAAATGGTCTCGATCAGCATGAAAATCATTTTTGATGTGTCAGCATTACAAAGATAGCTCACTCAGTTATTGATCCTGTACCACACGCTGGATAATATGATTGATGACGGGTGGAAGGAAATCGAAACCATTGTACATTCCAGTTTTGGTCATCAGAGTCAACACCGTGCTCTCACAGAGTCTTGTGTGGCTCGGCCCAGTGTGGACATGCTAGTGCTCCAGCCCCTTCCACCTTACTTGGCCTCATTACTGTCTTCACTTCAGTGATTCCAGAAAGACACTTTCCCAAGTACTACTTTGTTACTTACTTTCCAAATATATGTGATTTCTTTCTCACAACCAAGAAATCTTCCTTGCCATTTACCTTACTCCTTCCATTGGCTATACACAGATTTGCCTGTAGAGTTTTCTGCTTCTTTCTTGATCTTGAAAACCTAATTTTGAGCTTCAGGTTTTGCTGTTAATGCCCACCTCAATTAACTCTGTCTTGGGCAGCTGTGTGGCCTTCTCAAAGCAAGGCCATGTAGCCAGGCTTCTGTCTCCTCAGGCTGGCCCAGACTTGGGGAAGTTCTGCTTGGAGTCTCACCTCTGAGTACATCTTCCTGATTTTATATCACTCTGGTGGCCTTGCCCTGTACCAGTCATTTCCTGACTAGATCCATTGCTTTCTCTCACACTGTCCCTCTCTTCCTCCTCTTCCTCCTCCTCCTCCTCCCCCCCCTCCTGCTTCTTCTCCTCCTCCTTCTCCTCCTCTGCTTCCCCTCCAATTTCTCCATCTGTATTTTTCTTGTCCTACTGCTGCCTTATCCCCAGCTCCTAAACATTTGCTTGTCTTGTGCTTTTAGGAGGATGGACAAAGAAAGCATTCTAAGAGGAGAAAGTTTTCTTTATTCAAAGGCCCATGCAGGAAAAGATATCAATCATTTTGAGGAACCCAAAAAGATAAGACTTTAAACTCCAAAAGAGGCAGAGGCTCCTATTAAAAATAGGGTGCTCTGTGATTTCCCCTTAAAAGATGGTAACAGTGGCTGAGGTGAAGTCCTAGTACAGGCAGACACAATGATCTTCTATGGGTGTTCCCTGGGGTTCATGCTTTGCACACATTGGGTGGCTCCTTGACATCCTGGGCCAGTGCATGTAGAGGAATGGGCAGGTGCTCAGACCAGCCCTCCCACACTTTATTTTTATTTATTTATTTATTTATTTATTTATTTATTTATTTATTTATTTAGTGGACCTGGGGATTGAACTCAGACCCTTGCACTTGCCAGGGAAGTGCTTATTCCACTGAGCCATCTCCTGGCCCTCCTCCCGCACTTTAGAAGTGAGTTCAGCAAGCCAGGGAAGGGACTGTGTTCCCTCCTTTCCTTGATGACCAAGGCAGAACTGGCCTGAAGAGGGACCTAAGAAGACTCATGGCCCAGCACCTCACCCTGCCTCAAGTGAGCACACCAAGGATAGAAGCCTGTGATGGCAAGTAGAAGGTTTCCCTGCACCTCAACCCCAGGAAACCTGGGTCGGTGGTTCACTTCTCAGGAATGCCTCTAAAGCCACAAAGGAGCAAATGTTTTTGTTTATATGAGTGTTGTCCTTTGCAGACAACATGCTTGGAAGATTTATTCATATATTCATTACTTTTATATTATTGTTATAGCAGATAATTTGGAAAATTTCCTTTGGCATTTGGAGAAATAATTACATGGGAAGATTTTTGAATAAAAAATCCAAAAGTAACATTAAAGAGCTATCATCTTTCTTTTACATTAGTTATTAGATAAATGAAGGCATAGTTTATATTAGCACAGGTACTCTTAAAAAGGCCTAAAATACAACACCTAGAGTACCATGGCCTAAGAGTACTTATCTAAAGTGGTCAAAATAGGAGTGCACAAGATATTATAAGGGAAAATCCTGTACAGTTTAACAACTGTAAACTTCACATGTGATGATTGGTGTAATTTATAGTGTTCAGAGTGGTGAGATTAAAAGACAGCTGAGAATTTGGATAGAACCTCTGCGTTCTTGTTAGAGGACAACAGCCCTATAATAGTGTGTAGATACGCACATTTGAGGGTTATTAGGGATTTTGATGGACTTGAACTCTTTCCTCTCTTCTCCTCTAGGTTTAGAAATATCCTGGGATGGAGACAGCTTTGTAGAGATCATGGCTGCCCCTCACCTCAAAGGCAAGCTGTGTGGTCTCTGTGGTAACTACAATGGACACAAACGAGATGACCTAATTGGTGGAGATGGCAACTTCAAGTTCAATGTGGATGACTTTGCTGAGTCTTGGAGGGTGGAGTCCAACGAGTTTTGCAACCGCCCTCAGAGGAGACCAGTGCCCGAGCTGTGCCAGGGGCCAGTGAAGGTGAAGCTGCGAGCCCATCGAGAGTGCCAGAAGATCAAGTCCTGGGAGTTTCAGACCTGCCACTCCACAGTGGACTACACCACTTTTTACCGGTAACCATCATGTTCTAGGGGGTGAGAGGGTAACAGACGAAGTCTGGAATTGTCCTGGGCACAGATCATACCAGATCTCTGCATGTGCAAACAAGGCCCCACAGTACACATCCCCACATCATTCTGTCTAGCCATTGATCTTATCCTGAGTCAGCCCACATCATAACCCGACTGGGAAACTCCAGGAAGTGTCCACACATGGGCTTCTGTAGTCAATTGTGCATTTTGTGTTGTCTGTGGGTTTCTTGGGAAGCTAATGGCATTCCAGAGATTTTTTTTCCTGGTTTTTCAGTTTGACTCTTAAGGCTGAATGCCTTCCCAATTTCTGGCCTAAACTTAAGAGGTCTAGGAAAGAGTGATTTGCTAAGATGAACCCTCTGGTCATTTTTCTACCTATGGGTGATTGAGGAGCTCAGTTATTCCAGGCTGAGCAGGAGCCTAGGGCAGCTTGCTGGTCTACCCCAAGTGCAGATGGGAAATGAGGAAGAAAAGTGAAGAATCCTTGGATTTTGGCCAACATAAGACTTTTTTCCAGAGTCAGAAGACTATGGAAACAGAACAGAAGAGGAAGGACCCTTGGTAGGAGAAAGGATTCCATGATCTTTTCTATCTGCCTAACCTCCTTCACTCAGTATCATGTGCCATGGACGTGGCCTGGAGCTGACTCTCATGCTGCAGTGTTGCGCTTGTGGCTGGTGCGCCTGGCCTGGTTATGCTGCCATTCCCTACACAGTCCTGTGACATCAGGAGCTATGGCTGCTGAGCACGGTGACCACAGTGAGTGTGGGGAAGCACCAGCCGAGCGCAGCCCAGAAGGCCTTACTTCAGTGGGTTGCCAGTGCCTCTTCAGATGAGGAAACTCTGAGGTCTGTAGCCACAGAGAGGTGATTTTTACGATTTAACTGGCACCAGTTGATTTCCCCTAGCTCTCATTAAATGTGATCTTTCTCTTATTTGATCTTTGGACATAAAATATAAAGTCCTATAAAGGCAGCTGTGGGTCCCTGAGCAAGGCTGCATGTGCAGGCCACTTGGCTCCAGGTCACACATGTAGCTCCTTCAAGACATTGTCCTGTTTCAATCTGAATTCCCTTCCTTCTCCTCCTGATGCCACCTCCCAGATTAGCCCTACTCTTCTTCTATTCCAATTGAGGCATCTTTTAAAAAGTTGTTATTATGAGCCTATGTGCCCAAAGCAAACTACTTCCATTCATGGAGGGAAGTTGGCACCCTCATGGGGAACAAATCCTTTTTTTTTTTTAATTAATAAATGTAATATACCACATCAATGGAACCAAGGACAAAAATCATATGATCATCTCAGCAGCTGGAGAAAACTCCCTTTTTTTTAGCCTTTCACAGCTCAGCATATTAATATGGCTTTACTTTATATACCTCATTTTTATATTTTTCTGCTGGATGGTTAAGACTAAAATAAAGCAAGATCCATATAACAAGAAATGCAACTTTTATATTGGATAAGGTCAGACAAGTCCCCTCAGGATTTATCCTGTAACCCTGAACCGCAGTTTGCAGATCCTTTGTCAGTGTCAGCCATGTGGATGAGTCATGGCCATTGCTTGACCAGTTTGCTCTCTGTGAAAGCCTGAGAAAATGTTTTCTCTCCAGGTGACTCTCCATAGGTACACTCTACATCATTGATCACGTTGCTCTGTGGCTGCATAATCTCCTTGATCAGAAAATTTGGGACACAACTGAGTTACATGATGTTACAGTAGAAGTTCTCCTATGTCCTCAGTCTTCACTGATCTTGAAAGGCTAGGATCAAAATGTTGGCTGTCCTTGCAGCCCTTCCATTTCTCTAATTTTTGGTCTGCAAACTTAGATTGTTAACCCTCCAGAAGGGAAGCTTATTATTACCATAGATCTTATGAAGTTGGGTTTAACTTCATTAACTGTCTGAATAACACGGAACAGGTATATTTTCCATCAAGTATTGATATATCAAACATTAAGTCCCTACAGAATGTGGAGATAAAAATTTAAAAAATGAAAAATATTTAAAGATATGAATAAACAATTACATAATTTTACACAGAAATTTAGAAATCTAACCATATACAGCATTGTAACAGGACAGTCCTGTGACATATTTTTTTTCTTTTTCTTGTGTCTTTTTTTCATTTATTACTCTTTTAAAAAAACTTGTGAGACAGTATGGTAATAATTGGCATGTCATGACAAAAAGTACATATTTATGAGACCAGAATGACAGATATTCCAAGCAAGACCCTTCTATTACACATTGCTATTTTCAGGGCAGTTGCTTGGTTCACAGGTATCAGCATCTATAGTTAGTCAGGGTAAGAATACTACCAATTAACTGCTAGTTTCAAAAACCTGCTGATGTTTCTCAGGATCATTGGCTTGCCCATCTTGTGTGAATAAATATATGGCTTTTTCCCTGTTCTGTTTGCCAGCTGTTCTCCTTGCCCTCTCTTCATTGCCTAATCCTCTAGATCTCACTTTCCTTTTAATTGTGTTATACCTTCCTATTTGTATTTCGTCTTTTGAGTTTTTATACTAGGACTGCTATACAATATTTACATATGTGGGTCTGGTTTATTACACTTATGAGTATGTTTTCAAGTGGCATCCACTTAAATATAAATGCTTCAAGTTTATCATTCTTTATAGCTGAGTAATGCTGCATTGTATAAAAATACTGCATCTTTTTCAACCATTCCTTGTGTGACAGACATCTTGGTTGTTTCCAAGATTTGCGTATCACAAATTGTGCTGCTAGAAACATAGGTATACATATATCACTATGATATGATGTTTTCACTTCCTCTTGGAAAATTCCCAGTAGAGGGATAGCTGGCTTGAATGGGATTTCCAGTCCTAGTTTTTTAAGAAGTCTCCACACTGATTTCCATAGTGGTTGCATCAGTCTATATTCCCCCCAGCAGTGGAGAAGGGTTCCCTTTTCCCCACAGCCTCTCCAACATTTGTTGTTGGTTGATTTCTTTATGATAGCCATCCTTTCTTGGGTGAGATGATATCTCAATGTTGTTTTAATTTGCATTTCATGGATGGCTAGTGATGTGGAGCATTTTTTCATATATTTATTTGCTTCTTTAATTTCATCCTCTGAAAAGTTTGTGTTCATCTCAGATGCCCATTTCTGTATTTGATCTTAAAATTTAGGGGCCCTAATGTGTTTTAGTTCTTTATAAACTTTTCAATAAGAGTTGGTCCCAGTTGTTAATTTTTTCAAGTGTTACTCGTGCACTTTGATTTTTGTTCATGAACTCTTTCCCTACCCCTATGTCTTCAAGAGTTCCTCCTACTTCCTCTACCAGGAAATTTAGTGTTTGTGTTTTGATGTTTAGATCTTTAATTCATTTTGACTTTACTTTAGTGCATGGTGATAGATCTGGCTCAGGTTTTAGTTTTCGGCATACAGACAGCCAGTTTTTCCAGCACCATTTGTTAAAGAGGCTATCTTTCTTCCAGTAAGAGTGTTTGGCACCTTTGTCAAAGATCAGGTGCTGAGTGTGTTCATAGGGGCTTCTGCATCTTGTAATCTATTCCACTGATCCTCAGGCCTATTTTGTTGCCAATACTATGCTGATTTTATGAGAGTAGGTTTGTAGTATAATTTCAAGTCAGAAATTGTAATGCCTCCTGTCTTGTCTTTGTTACCCAGGATTGTCTTTGCTATTTTCTGTCTTTTCTGGTTCCAAATAAATTTTAGGAATGATTTCACTAGGTCTGGGATGTATGTTGCTGGTAGTGTGATAGGGATTGCATTATATCTGTACAACAATTTTGGGAGTATGGCCATCTTCACGATGTTGGATCTTCCTATCCAGGAGCAGGGAATATCTTTCCATTTTCTGAAATCCTCTACGATCTCTTTTTCAGAGTACTGTAATTTTCCTTGAAAACATCTTTGACTTCTTTAGTTAAGTGAATTCCAAGGTATTTCATTTTCTGCAGTGCTATTGTAAAAGATATTGTTTCTCTAATTTCCCTTTCAGTGTGTTTGTTATCTGTGTAGAGAAATGCTATTGACTTTTAAATATTGACTTTGTATCCTGCCACACTACTGAATTTGTGTATTAATTCTAGTAGCTTCTTCATGGAGTTTTTTTGGTTTTCCAAGAAAAATATCATGTAATCTTCAAATAATGATAATTTAACTTCTTCTTTATCTATTCTTGTTCCTTTTATTTCTCCCTCTTGTCTAATGGCTCTAGCTAATGATTCCAGAAATATATTAAATAGGAGGTGTGATAGAGGAAATTGTTTTCTTGTACCAGATCTGAAAGTAAAAGATTTCAGTTTTTCCCCATTTAGAATTATATTAGCCATTGAATTGTCATAGATGGCTTTTATCAAATTGAAGTAGAGGCCTTCTATTCCAATTTTCTGTAGGACTTTGAACATGAATGAGTGTTGCACTTTGTCAAAAACCTTTTCTGCATCAATTGAGATGATCATGTGGTTTTTAGATTTCACTCTATTGAGGGGAACATATCTTCAGCATTTCCCTAACTGCAATAAGCTTGAGCCCTTAATGTGAGCCTGAGTTCACATCATTTGGTATCTATGTATTTTTTCATGAGCTTCACTAAGAAGTAATAAAATACAGGAAGTGAGAGTGGTATAGAAGGGACCTGTAATCCCAGGACTTGGCAGGCTGAGCAAGAGGGTTACCTGGATTCAACACCAGCCTGGGTGACACAGCAAGTTCAAGGCCAGCCTGAACTACATAGCGATTCCCTGTCTCAAAGCAGTCTTCCTGGCTTCAACACCCAGACAGAACCTAGAGCCTTGAGCAAATACCTGTGCTCTCTGGACCTCAGTGAGCCTGTCTGTGAATTGGGGACAACCAGGGACTGCCATGGAGGGCTGTCTTTTAGATCCAGTGGGGTCATTGTTGCCCCACCACTTCCTCTGCCATCAATGAGCTGATCCAGCAGAACGAGGCTATCTTGAGATGCTTGCAGGTCTCTAATGCAGATTTGGGT